ATTTGACAAATATTTGATTCAATTTGATTTGATTCGATCAAATTCAAATTGATTCAAATTGATTCAATCAAATATTTGAGTTCAATTTGATTTGATTTGATTTGATTTGAAAAAATCAAATCAAATTTAAATTACTTAAATATTTGATTTGATTCGATTTTGAGGAACCCTATTGATATGTATTGAAGAATACTGATATGTATTGAAAAGCACTGTTTCATATTGAAAGGCACTGATAAAAGTATTAAAAAAATTATTGGTAGTTTTTTTGCATATATATTCTGACTAAAAAAATGGTCACCCATCTTCATGAAAAATTTTATCGATCCAATGCAACTCAGTTATCAGAATCTGATATTAAAGAGATTAGAGAGTCAAGAGGTAAGATACTTAATACATCAAAAAAAATGGCTGAAAAATTCCATATTGGTGCTCAGCGTGTTTATGAAATATGAAATAATATTGAGCATCTTCAACAAGAGCTTATTTTATCTTCAATTAATCAGCTTGCTTTAGATAAGACGGAACAGACTCTTGAAGTGGTATTAGAATTATCATTTATATCCCTTCCAGCTACAGAGATTCCAAAAAAGAATGGTCGAAAAAAAAAGGTTAAAATATATGATAAACTTATTACTGAAGCAATCAGAATAGTGGAAAAAAATAACAAAAATGGTGTGGTCTCTGATAATTCGTCTGATACATCCTGAGAAGATAAGGTGAAATCTTTTCTTAAAAATCTAGTTAATTGTGATGAAAAGCTTAAGGGTTTAACAGCTCATATCACTCCTCTTATATAAGGATTCATATATATCAGCAAGAAATTTACCAGTACTTAAGGCTGAATAGAGCATTTCTTCAGTCTTTATGAGACGTTTTTCAAGCTCTTCACACTTTTTTTAAGTCTTTCTTACTAGTCGGATTAGAAGAATTAGCTAAAACCTGAAAGCTAAGAGGTGCTTCGCATGATAATTTCTAATCCTCTTTTGGCGGATCCTTGACTACTCCTTGCTAAAGATTGAGATAATATATGCCTTTCTATGTAACTTTATGTGAAACTGGTTTTTATTTGGCTAGCGGACACCTTAAACCTTTCGAATGTTTGACATACCAAAAAATAGCATTGGTTCTGTTTCACCATTATCAATATGAACAAAATTTCTAATAACTGTGATTGTCTTACCTTCTTTATCCTTTAAGGTAACCGGCACGTCTGTAAACTATTCTAATGAATCAGTGATATGCTTGAAATTACCCTTTATGGCAAAATTAGATGGTTTATCAGCTTTTCATCCAAGCGTCTTAATTGCTAGATCATTTAAACCACCTAACTCATTGTCAGTATCTAAAAAAGATTCAAAAATAGTTAAGTCATTTATATTAGCATTCAGATATTGTAAAGATGACAACCACTCATCTGATTTTTTCAATTCCTCCTTCTGAGCCTTTTGAGATAAGCACATTTTTTGTATTGGTGGTGAGAGCTTAGACAATAGCTGATCATACGTTTTAGGTTGGCTAGATTCTAGAGGTAAGATTGCATTAGTATCACTGGCCAACTTATCATTTACTAATACCTGTTTTTTTCTGATGCATAATATCACTCATTATCTGCTTTGTCATAACCATTTCCATCATTTTCTTCACCATCTGAATCAGGAGGAACTATTGGTTTAAGAGGCATAAAATAAGACTGAGTAAAATTAGATTGAGCTAACGGTCTTTTTGGACAACTTTCTTTGTTATGAACTGTTTTCCCACAAATATTGCATTTACGTATATTTAGTTTCTGAAATAGATCAGCTAACTGATTTACATTATTCTGAGTTTCTTCAAATTCTACTTCAATTCTATCAAATCTAGTAGAGTTATTGTTTCACTGTGAACGAGGTCTTTGAAAAGGCTTTACAGTATAATCAGAGTTTAAACCTTCCTTATTAAGTAGATCTACTTCTTTTAAGTATTCGGTTACATAATAATTTTTGAGACCTTCCTCTGTTTTCAATGTAGATAGTGGACCTTTCGGCTGTCTAATCAGTTCAACAGTTTGTGGAGTAGTTACTTGCTGAGCCATTTACGATTGAAAATCAGATTTTTACTTTTCTAATAAAGACTGGTATTCAGTTTTTTGCTGTGTCAGTGCGTTTTGAATTGCTTTTTACATATTTTCTAAAGAAATTTCTTGCTATTGTGAGGCTGAAACAGGTGAGGATTCATATATTTGCTGAGATGCTCTGATATTTTATTTCTTTTATGTCTAGCTATTCGGCGTAATTCTATCTTATAAAGTTTTTTAGCTAATTTATCTAATAGCAAATGTTCACTAATATCCTTAGCTTTTTCAAGCTATGGAAGTGAAAGGGCATCTAAAAACTTTTTACGCAATTCTTCAAGTTTATAGTTAGCTTATCTACCTATTCATAATATTTTTCTATATAATTCATCTATAGTCATGTCTCCTTTTCTGATTGTTCTATATATCAAATTCCGAAGTTTTTCTTCTACAATAGGGAAATGAGTTTTCAGCTATCATATAGCTTGACCAAATCGAATACCAGCTATAACTACTATAGTACTATTATTTTCATTTGGTACATTTACAGCAAGATTAGTAAGACAACCACCTGCTATATGCCAGTCTTCATTCTAAGGGCCTTCTACAACTCTCAATTTGATTATTGCAGTTTCTGGTTGACAAAAAGCTTCATTTATTACTTGATTTCCTATCTGAACAGCTGTTCACCTATTTATTGCTACTAAGTTACTCTGCCCTGTATTATCAAGTAAGTTTACTAATTTCTAATTCTGTTTTGTAGTAATTTCTTCGTCAAACCATTCTAAGGCTCTTCCTCTTATACATCCTCTCAAATATCCTATAGCTATTTCTCTTCCTGTGGGTAGACCTCTCGCATTATCTGCTGGATCTACACCTTGATTTTGCAAATATAATCTAAGTTTTGCTAAAAAATCTGAAATACTATTACCTTATTCAAAAAATGGTTGTGGGATTCCTGCTATATTTATTTAATTTGATGGATTATTCTGTAACGCTAAAATTTGTCCTTGCAAATTTAAAATATTCTGACGAGAATTTTTTTCTTTAGCCTTCCATTTCTCATATCGCTCATAGAGCCTGTCTTGATTATATTCTAACAGTTCTATATCTTCTCTACTTCGCTGTAGGTAGTGAGCATTTCGCTAATATAATAATTGTAAAGCAAATTTTTCTTGTACCAATTCACCTATACGGGTTTGCTTTTTTGCTATATTACTTATCATTCTATTTACTTGGTTTTGAGCATTAGTTTGATATTGATGGAGATCACTAACAACTATGGCCATCCCTCCTTCAGTAAGTTACCTTCGTATTATTTCATTATCCCTTTCAGCTTCTGCATCATAACGCCTTCATTGCTCTCAGGTTAAATCCTGTTACAAAACATTAAATTTTTGACGAATTTGTCTTGTTGCCCTTTTTATTTGGTCTGATAAGATATCTATATGTATTGCCCTATTATTCACATAACCATCTATAGCATCTGCTAGCTCTATAATTGTGGCTATATTATTATCAGAATTATATAGATCAGAAGAATTCCCTCGTACTAGTGAATTTTTCCTTGATGAGATAGTTCTGATCTGACATCACAATCTTTCTATCTGCTCCTCAGATTCTACTAACAGCTCTTCTAAATTAGAAATATATTTTCCTTTATCTCACACATCTTTCCTAGCTTAATATAGCTGACTTTTTAGACTGGAGATTTTGGAATTTTGCTCTGCTATCTCTTCTTCTGAAGTATTCTCAAGACGCTCTATGTCTTTATTGAGATTTTGGATTTTTTGTTCACACTGAAAATAATCTCGCTCCAGTTGATTAATTCAACTCTTATTCTGACAATTAGTATTAATTTTTATTTGCAACTCACTACGAAGATGGTAGTTTTCCTCCTCCAACTTAGCTTTATATTCTTTACAGGCTCTTCTTTGCCTTGGCTGAGGTCTGCAGAATGACTTTTTTTTTGTGGTTATTAGTTCGGAGTGTAATGAAGGACTTATATTGTCTAGAACGCATAACACAAAAATGTCCCAATGTCCGTCCGCTCAAAAATTGAGTCGATACGTTATTGGTTACTTTCATTATACATGTTCTGGACTTAGTAACAGTTCCCGTTCCCTAGTATAGAAAGATGGGAAAACCAGTTATTTATATTAGTCTCCAAAAAGCTCATGATTTAGACTATCATCTTGCCTTAAAAAAGCTTTATTATCATCCTAAGAGCCTTTATCAAAATGCTAAAGGATTGTGGGATGCTTGTAAAAAAGCTGACTACAGCTTTTCATTTACTGATGTAAAAAATGGCTTGATAGGCAAGCAATGTACCAAATTTTTCATCCTTTATTAAAGCATATACCTTATGCCAGTTACTCTAAAATCACGAAGCCAAATTTTGTACACTAATATAATTTGATCGAAATACCATATGATGATGTGAATATAGATTTAATAGAGGATAGCCTAATATTTTATTATGTATTATTAGTTATAGACTGCGCAACTAGATTTAAAGATTTTGTTTTTTTAACATCAAAAAGTAGTGAAGAAGTCACAGAAGCATTTAAGAGTATATATAATAATCCTGATAAGTCCCTTAACTGGCCTCAAAAACTACAATGTGATAAAGGCACTGAGTTTATGAGATACATGACTTTATTAATAGACGAACACAGTGTTGAAATCCAAAGGATTATAGCACATTTCAGACATATAAGCTTCACTATGGTTGACCGTTATGTTGGATTATTTGAATTAAAAGTTTTTAAAAATCAGTATTTGATAGAGTTTCTCCTGCTTACTGATAAGTGTTGTAGGGAATATAAGCAGTTTGCAAGAAAATTGTTGATAATATGAATGATAGTCTAATTCAATTGATTGGAATGAGTCCTAATGATGCCACAAAACTTGAGTGGGGATATTTCAAACCATTGGTAAAATATAATCGTCTGATAAGTGTTGATGAATCACAGCTACCAAAGGGTATACTATCTGATTTTTGCTTGCCTCCGGAGAGTGAGAAAATGATCCTTTTGAATGACATAGAATAACAGATCCAATATGGTCCTCTAGCCTACATAAAATCTGAAGAATCATTGTTGGAAAGAATCCTCTGATGCCTGTTTTATATTATTTAGATGATTCAGGACCTCAACGTCTCTTTGTAAGGGAACAATTAATGCATATTAAAGAAAAGCCAATGCTTCCTCCTAAATGGATATTGAAAGATAACCAAATGTGTGTAAGACGCTTTTTATAAAAGTCTTCAAGTCAATAACGCAATAAGGAATTGTAATGAGGATTACTTCTTTTTCTTAGCATAATGCATTCTTTTTCCAATCACGCTGAATTTACACATTTATATTCATCTGTCTTTCTGGATGAAAAAAAGACATGATTTGGTAATGTTAGTTACCATTATATTCGAAGGCCAAACCTAGTTCTTCATTGTATCCATCTAGGTATAAACCTTCTAAAAATTTAGATTTTTGGAGTGGAAATTTTTTATTTAATAAATCTTCGAATATATACCGACATGTTCTTTCCAGTACATTAGGGCAAATATTACACTATCTATGATTCTGTTTCATATTTTTATATGGCACCTTCCATTGATGGCCCTTTTTACATATCCATAAATAAATGTTAGAATTACTACTAACTCTAGCTAAGTATCTTTCTTCACGTTTATGAGTATAGACTAAAGCTTTGGTATCAGTTCTATTATGATATTGCATTTTATAGACGCAGAAGAATTGATCTGAACAATTGCAAATCCAGATTGCTAGTTCAGAAGTAGAATTAAACTTGACTACTAGTATTGTATAAGCAAAAAAATAAATATATCCAGTACTTTTAGCAGAAGTGGAATCGGACTTCTGCCTTGCATCAATATCCAGAACTAGGAAAAGAGGCAGCTTCTTATCAATGCACTCATGAGCATCAGGAATCCCATAAACTTCGGATGGGTGATTAACAACTGTAAAACCCTTTCCTGTTACTCAAATGATATATTTATTAAAAATCTATTTAGGATGATAAGCGTCTAAAAAAGCAATATCATCTTTATTATTAATTTTCAATAAATTTTGAAAATATGTATGATCATTATAGCCCAGCTCAAAATCAAGGTCTGCTACACCTAAAAAGAGTCTTATTGCTTCATTTATTTCTTCAAGATTAGGTTCAAAATTTTTTCGTGCAAATAGCATGGTAGTATATGCAAGAAAGCAGTATAAAATTACATAGAAAACTGTAATCTTCAAAATAAATAATGTTAATGTATATCTTAGAAATGAAATAAAAATGCGTAAAGCTATTTTGGCTTCTGATCCAATTACTAATGTAAGTATGCAATATATATATATTAAATAATACTTTAAAGCAATTGATATAATAATATCCTAAAGTATCAACTATATGAGAAAGTGTTCTAGAAAAGCAGGAGCACAAAGCAGAATATAGATTTGGTAGGCTACTCAAGCAGAATTGTATATAGGAAAGAAAAGAGAAATTATACTTGAGTGGCCTACCAATGATAGGCAGGAAAGAGGTCAGAAAAGTGAAAAGGCTTAGAAGAATATATGAAAAAAAGGTATGAAAGCTGTGAAGTCTGAATTAATTCAGCATTTCATGTCTCACCCAGCAATCAAAAGTAGGTGAATAGATTGCAACATATCTTTAGCAAATAGATAGATTGCAAATTCAGCACTTTATGCCTCATCTGGCAAACAAAAAATGGCAAATGAGAGGAAATCAACTATGTAAGGGTATTTCAGTACCAAAACATTATCACATAACTATAATGCAGTAAGATGCAGTATTAATTCGCTTAATTTCAGCCAACACTATTTCACAATTTCAGTCAGAACTTTAGATATAATATTTTGACATCTAAGTTAGCATAAAATTGGTAAACTAATAGAAACTCTCTAGCTTCCCTCCAGTTCTATGACAGTTCCAGGAGAGTTTCATAACACCACCAGGATACTATCATAACGCTATCACGACATCAAATTGGATTCTCAAATCACATACACAAAAGATCAACCAGAGTTATACTATAGAGCTGGCCAAAATTAATCACAAATACATTACGTCACCTGTTACCTCTTTTTTACACTATTTCAGTATTTTAAAAGGCAACCAAATAGGCGCAAAATGAAGCATTTTCAATATCTTAACAGGTCACCAAACAGGTCCAGATAGTATTTTGCAAAAATCTGATTCAATCTGAATCTGATCCAGATCTGACAGATTGAATCAAATCAAATTTATCAGATTCAGATTTGGATTCAGATCTGATTTGTTGAATTTGAAATAAAAAATGCCGCCCTGAAGTCAGACGCGGCATTTATTATTAAAAAAATTTAATTTTTAATAATAAAATGCCGCCCGAAAATCAGACACATCATTTATTATTAAAAAATTAATTTTTATTAATTTTTAATAACAAAATGCCGTCCTGAAAGTCAGAGATGACATTTATTAATAAAAATTGATTTTTATTAATTTTTAATAACAAAATGCCATCCCGAAAGTCAGAGGCAGCATTTATTATTAAAAAAATTAATGTTTAATAATAAAATGTTATACTGAAAGTCAGATGCAGCATTTATTATTAAAAAATTAATTTTTATTAATTTTTTATATAAAAATACCACCCTAAAAGTTAGACGTAACATTTATTAATAATAAAATACTGATCCAAATGTCAGAGGTGAATTTTTGTTAAAAAATTTGTTGATCCATCAAATATGGATACAGATTCAGACATTGATTCAGATTTGTTGGATTTAGATACGAATTCAGATTCAGATTTGTCAGATTTGAATCGAATTGAATTCAGATTTATCAAATTAAAATCAAATCAGATTCAGATTTTTCGATTCAGATTGAATCAGATTTTACTCAAATCTGATCCAATCCGATCTGTGCAGAACACTACTTTTAATAGAAAAGATACAAAAGTAATTTCTTCAATAAAAATGCTTTCAGAAATAATTTCTTTTAAAGAAACATTTCTGAAAATAATTCCTTTTAAAGATATACCTTCAGAAATGATTCCATTTAATGAAAAAGTCATGAAAGATATTTCTTCAAAAAAAATAATTCTAAATTATTATTATTTTAATAGTAACACTTCAAAAGTATTTTTATTTAAATAAAACATTCAAAAATATATTTTTTTTAAAATAAACATTTTGAAAGTGTTTTTTTTAAATAAAACATTTCAGAAATATTATTTTTTTAAAATTAACGATTCAGAAGCATTTTATTTAAATAATATATTCTGAAAGCATTATTATTTAAATTAATACTTTAAAAATATTTTAAAATAAACATTCTGAAAGTATTTCTTTTAAATAAAACATTTTAAAAATGTTTTTTTTAAATAAAATATTTTAGAAATGTTATTTTTTTAAAATTAATGCTTCAAAAGCATTTCTTTTAAATGTGATATTCTAAAAATATTTTTATTTAATTAAAACGTTTTGAAAATATTATTTTTTAAAACTAATATTTTAGAAGCATTTTTATTTAAATAATATATTCCGGAAGTATAGTTTTTAAAAGTAACACTCTAAAAGTATTTTTTAAAAGTAATGTTTTAAAAATATTATTATTTAAAAGTAATACTCCTGAAGCATTTTTTAAAGTAATGCTCTAGAAGTGTTTATTTAAAAGAAATGCTTTAGAAACATTCCCACTTATGTGTTATCTCTATCACAGTTCATTAAGTCTTCATACTTAAATGAATTACCATATGATTCAACTTAAAAAGATCATGAAGAATTTATAATCTTTGCCGACAGGTGGCAGCTGTGATTAAGAATATTTCATCAAATCAACTGAAAATTTGTAACATAATGAACTCAACCTCTTACCTAAAAATAAACGTCCTATTTTTCAGGTAATAATACTATATAATATATAATATGAGTTTTTTTCAAAATCCCGTTAACCATAATCCTGATGGTTTAGAATCTTAATATCATAACA